ATGCTATGCCATACCTGTAAAATACTGATGACACTCCGCGACACTGGACCATGGATCTGCATCCACACGCCTTTGTGCCATGCTTGCCTTTTTGACAACTGCCATTAAGGCACGGTGAGCAACCGTATTCGTAGCAGGAAATGTCGCAGAAAGCATTTTTCAGCTGCTCCAGGAATGTGAATATATTTGAACAGGCGTAAAGCAGACACGACAGATAACTGCTGGCGAACTTAGGAGCAAACACAGAGTATGCAGAGACGTTGAGTGGTCGCATGATGTAACCGCAACCCTCCTGTCCACAACCGAGAAGGTAACTTAAATCAGAACCGCTACTTGTCTCATGCGTAAAGTGAGATGGTGATTCATAGAAATTGTGGAAATTATTCATTAATTCACAGGCGTCTTCGTATTTACAAGACACGGTTCCTTCGATTGCTTTGCAAATGTCACCTTGGATGGAAAGTGATGAGTTACGATATGGTGACATTCGAGTCCACCTCTTAATGAGTTGGCAATAAAACGAAAATATGTCAGGGAACCACTGCGGTGGGCGGTTGAGAAGACACGTAAGTAAAGAGTGGAGTTTGGTTAGTAATCCTCTCTTGCCGACCAATTCTGCCAGCAGTCCACACAGGTCTTTACCTTTATGCGTACTGTTCGAGAACGCTCTGAAGCCGAGGGGAGGGAGACATGGCATTCCTGGTGTGGATTTGGGGCAGGTGTTGCACGATGATTTGCAACCAACAGAGGTTACATCATGCGGCAAATGACCATGTAAGCTATCGTTTAAGTAAGACATAAGTGGCGACGTAGGTTGGCAATTTGGTTTGGTGTTTGCCTGGCACATAGGTTGGCACGTAGCTTTATCGGTAACATGGTGGTTACACGATAATTTGGACGACTTGATATCCTTGCCGTAGTAGCAGTCGCGCCAACCACCGTGCTTATCACGTAGGCTACACTGGGTATGTAAGAATGTAAGGACGGGGAACATCCGTCGAAGGATATCAAGCAGCATATCAAGACACTCCGCGCCGGAACTGGGATATTTCAGGCTGAGGGAGTTGCTAGGGAAATCACACGCATAAAACGTTTCAGCATCGCCGTGCCCGACGACGCCAGTTAGAAGCATGTAAGCGTGGGATGTAACTTTATCAAGTGCATCATGGATGTGCTCATGTGTGAACGATTGTGGATAGGCTGCAATGGGCGCAACAATTTTGTTAGACGGATTACTCTCATCCGGCACTTCGAACATAGTCTTAATCTGCTGCTTAAGTTTTTCGTAAACAGGATTATGCGGGAGGCCAGACAGCCATAGGGACATGTCATATATGCTACACGGTGACCTGGGTTTGTCAATGTGATACAAGTGACGGACGTCGAAGTATTTATTGAGGTGATCACGAAGCCTATGGATGATTCCGGTTTCTTCGACAAAATCGACGGATATTTCATCGGTATTCGAACGGAGAGCTGTAAGTGATTGATTACTAGTAACGAACAAATTATGTTTAGAATTCATAAGATTTGTGAGAATGCGGCTACCTTTGTACTCTGGCTTATGATTCAGTTCGCCGTGCTCCGCACCAACAGGAAGGGCAGAGTCATACCCGTTGTCACGGAAAAAAAGAGCGTGTAAACTGGATTTAGGAACCGAATGGTTATATATGTTATTAAGTTTCCATCCAGTGTTCGTGTCATCAAGTTTCTCCTTGAGCTGTGTTAATGCTTCATATACGGTGGGCGTAAGTGTCAAGGCGATTTTTGCGTACTTATCTTTTTCGTCGTCTGCGACAGTTTTCCAATTAATTTCACGCTCCGAATACGTCGATATGTAAGTCTTGCCAAGCTCTTCTGCCAGGCCGTTAAAGCCTTTCTTCAGAGCGTTGACAATAAAAGGGTTCTTTGTCTCGCCAAGTATCAAGGGATTAAGCTTGCGAAGCTCATTTTCGAGGGACTCTGAATTTTTAGAAGACGCATCGTCGAAGTGCTTCGATTTTTCTAGGTTAGTGAGCAAAGTTTCGAGAGCCTTTTGCGTGGGTCTAACTTTGCTCAAGTCGGGCGCTATGTCGGATACATTTTTCATCCTGATGAAAAGCATACTTTGTGCGCCTTTTAATTTTTTAGCCGCCTCGCTAAGTGGAGAACTATCTGTTGTAAATAATTTCGGATCGATGTCTTCAATTCTTTTGACTCTCGTCATAAAAGGCTCATATATTATTTGCATGAAGCCTTTGTGTCCAATTGTCAAATCTTTTTTAATTGGTTCTGGCAGTGTTTTTAGTTCCACGGTGACGCTGTCCGCGAATTTCTCCAGCAGGAACTTTACGGCGTTAACGTATTGTTTCCGCGCATGGGTGATGAGAGTCTTTTCGGCTGACGCAACCTCATCTCTAACATGGTTTCCTAGCAGCTGGATTGTAGGTTCCAGGGATGAGTCGAGACTTTTCATGAACCTCTCGACGTCCTGGATGACAGTTTTCAATTCCAACTCCTTCAGATTCTCAAGTTGCTTTTTGATGCCATCCAGATTTTTCCGAATATTTGTATCTGTCAAAGTTGTTAAATTGCTTTTGAGATTTCCGCCAACTTCTTTGACGGCATCGTACAGAGCAGTAAGTGTTTTCCTAACTTCGTCGACTTTTCCATCAGCCTCTTTTTTTCGCTCTTCAATATCTTTTACAGCATTCTCCACCTGCTCCTTAATCCCCTTGATCTTGTCTGGAAGGGCGCCTTTTATATTCTCTAGGTTACCGGACGCAAGGGCTTTCAGTGCCTCTTCGTCTTGGGAGACGTGCGTGTTGTAACGGCTGAAACTTGTGGCGTCCTTAAGCTTGACATGAGTATTATCACTGCCGTTCGGCAGCTGCGCGTCGAGCACATTATCATCACCACTTGAAACACCACCGCCAGTACTGGGTGCGCTTGCTATCTGGCCGTTAAGGAGCTTCGTGTAGGTAGAGTGGAATTGGGACATGAGATGTTGGCCGATTTCGTAATGTTGTGGAGTTGAACCACCATTTTTCTTGAACTTCTCATCAAATTCCTTCTTAACATAGGCCTCGGCATTGTACTGGGAAAGATTAACATCTTGGGTGGAGGAAGAAACTACAGTGGCGACAATGCCGTTTCCGCCGTTACGTCCATTGTTAAGCTGACCCCAAAGCTCCCCGGCTTTCGCAAATGCGTCATCGACTTTTTTGATCTGCGAGTCATTGGCACTGTCTTCCAAACCAGTGAGTCTCTCAAGCGCTTTGGCAATATGAGTCGCTTTGGCGTGCAGGGCAATTACGATAAGGACAACCGCAGGTCTAAGATAGGCTCTGTAATTGGATTGTTCGCTTTCCAATACGGCATTCTCAATCGCCTCGCAAACGCCATTGACGAACGGATCACTACTAGAATTTACATCCACGTTGCTGATTTTATCCCAAAGGCTCGTAGCGAATCCATTGACGCAAGTATAAACGGCTTTAATATTGTTATGAATCTTGTTTGTGTCGCCGGTAATATCGGCACCAATAATTTGGATGCCGTGCTTAATATCCTTTATCTTATTCTTAATTTGCTGCGCAATCCCATCGCTTTGCCCATCCGCAATTGAATCATTTCTATCTATATTTGTACCACTAGACGTTGCACCACCAATCCTGCTCATTCTAACGTAATGCGTAATCGCCGCTTTAACAGAAATATTCACATCCAGAATCTCTTTTATCCAATCCTTGACCACATTTTCAAAGCTTCCGTTTGCATACTGCTTAGCGTACGTACCCGTCACGTGAGTCACGAATTGATCGAGACCCTTTCCATTATTCTTAATGTCATTAACCTCCCCCTGAATTTTTTGCAGCACATTCTTAACATGCTGCGTCAACGCACTCCTAATTCCGGTTTCCAACACTCCCAAATCACTCTTCACATTAGTATCCAACGTTCTACCTAGATTTTCAATCGCTCCTTTTATCTCCGTCCTCACCCCGTGCAAATCCTTCTTGAGCCCATCGTCCATCTCCTTCACGGCCGTGAGGGCTTCTTTAACTTTATCGGCGACTTGCTTTTTAGCTTCCTCTCCCGCGCCGAGTAGCATCAAAATTGCTGTCTCAATTTCCTGGATGTCCTGCTTAATTTTGTACGGCTTCATACTTGAATTTCCTTCATTAACTTCCAGCAAAATTTCTTCAATCTTCTTCACCGCGTCGTTGATGAATCGCGCTGCTTCATCCATCCACTTTACCAAAGCGTCAACGTAGTTCCCAAGTTGCTGACTAATCTTCCTCAACTGCTCCAAAATCTTCTGCACCTTAACTCTAAAAGTTTTCACAAGCTCTTCTACATCTTTTCTAATTTTTTTATTCACACAATCTCTGGCACCGTCAAGCGTCGACTTGATCTTCTCTTCCGTCGCCTTCAGGTCCTGAAGCTCCTTGGCGGACGCCTCCTCCAGCCGCTTTGTCTCATGCTTAACATTATTTTGTGCGTGAGTTACATTTGTTTTGCAATCTAAATTAAGATCATTAATGTCCTTAGTTGCTTTATTAAGTTCTCTATCAAAGTGATCAGATTTGGCAGCACACTGCTTAACCAAATCCTCGGCAGTGAACACTGCCGACTCGAAGTGAGGAGAATTCTCCGGGTCCTGCAAAGCATTAATCTGTGTAATTAACTTACCATCTTTATTGACGTACTTGTACAATTCTTCCACTTGACTTGTAATATTCTTGTTCGACGCCTTCACACCCTCATTATACTTGTTCACCCCCTGGACCACTGCGCTAATCGCCTTATTAAAACCCTCTTTACCAGAGTGTTTATGGGTGTTAAGAGACGTAATTGCACTTTGAATTTCATTACTATGTAATCCTAATTTAGGCTTAATGCTATGTAAAACACCATGAAGGAAAGACATCACCCCGTCGCAGAGCCTGTCAAGGTCCGAGTACACGATGCCGGAGCCGGTGTAATTACCATCCTGGTAGCCGAGAAATTTTTCGAGGCCTGTGCAGAGGTTATTTAATAATGTTGTTGAAGGATTATTTTAGGCACATTTTCAGGGCGATTTGGGGGAATTTGGAGAAAGGCGATTTCAGGTCAAGGAGGCAGAGGGGCAGCGAGGGAGGTGTGTGGACAAGGCGAGGGAGGTGAAGGGGCGAAAGAGGGCGATGAGGGAGGAAGATGGGTTGAAGTAAGGCGATCTTGGAGGTGGAGGGAGGAAGTGGAAAACGAGGATTGGGGTGAAGGACGCCGACGGAGGAGGTGAGGGAGGGGGTGATGGAGAGGGAGCGAAGCGACCAGTGGAAGAGGAGGTGGGTGGGTGGTTGGTTGGTTGGGTGAGTGGGTGAGTGGGTGGGTGAGTGGGTGGTTGAGTGGGTGATTAGGTGGTTGAGTGAGTGACTGGTTGAGTGGGTGGGTGAGTGGGTGAGTGGGTGGGTGGTTGAGTGGGTGAGTGGTTGAGTGGTTGAGTGGGTGGGTGAGTGATACACAGATCACACGTGAAGGCACGATTATGGTGAGAAGTACTTGACGTTGGCGAGTGCCTTGACGCGTGCGGCGGCGAGCAGCGACTGCGCGGCGATGCGGTGGCTTGCGGGTGATCTCAGGTGGGAGCGTATCCTCAGCACGTCGAGGCGGACGACGGCGATGTGCAGCAGGTACAGGAGCGACAGCGACCAGAGGGTGAGTAACGTTAGCATAAATGGCCATCTGATGGCGCAGATGAAATTGGGAATTTTCTCATATATTAACGTTGCGAGCGGCGATTCGTCTGATATTTTGTCGCTGATCACTTTTCCCAGGGCCGTGCAAAAGTCTCTGCACGTACGTTTGCTCCTCTTACCAGCAAGTATCAGAGCATCCCCATGAACGAATCCATATTTAAATAATGTAGGCGTGGTATAGCTGCAATTTACAATGGAGTTACATGAATCATCGTGATTGTATGTAGATGCCTGTTTGCCGACATTACAATTTACTGCACATTTTGCAACACGGCACTTCGACTTATCAGTGCCGCAACATTTGTTGCACTCATCATATAACATTTTGAGTAGATCGTAAAATGTCTCCGTGATATAAACGATCCATGAAAGATAGTTCGAAGCGCGAGTTTCGGAGAATGTTCGGCGGATGTCATTACTAATTGACTCCAAATATGGACCGCAGGAACCGACGGGAGCATTCACTGTTGGAGACGTATGACAGTCCACCAAACTAAATAGATCACCTTTGGAATGTTTCTCAGTGTGCGTTCTGCTGGATTGTATGCATACAACGTCCAACTTTCCATACTGTTCGCCGAAAATTGCGTCATTAACAGCCTGCAAGAATGCATCCTGCCTGTGCACACGACCCTGTCCGTTCCATTCATATAGGAATTTGTGGTAAAAGGCAAGCATATCACCAAGAGTTTGTGGCGCTCTACGAAGGAGGCAATTCAGCTTACGACACAACCTACTTAGGTGGGATGTAGGACCGCAGAAACTGTCAAGAACGCCGGCAAGGTGAGCTCCCTTTTGACATGAGAGGCCGTTACGCTTATGTCTCCAAAGCCCATAGGCGTTTTGCACGGTTGACCTCTGTGGCTGCCGACGGAGCACTTAACTCCGCAGCCAACTTTCGTCATATGGTGCGGCAAGAACCCTTGCAAACCGTCCTCCAAAAGGATTGGAGCGGCGACTTAAGGCCACAACTAACAGTTTGGTCACACTTTTGGGTACATGTTTGCTTATGTGTTTGGTTACCTATTTGGTCAGCGTTTTGTTCGGCTTTTGGTTAGGGCATTGGAGCCGATTGCATTGCCATCCAGAGCCACCAACTCCGTTGCCGTATACACAGTCACGCCAACCGCTGAGCGCTGTTGTATCGCAACACTGCTTATATACAAAATGAAGTTGATGTTGCACTTTAAATACTATGTCTAAGAGCATGTCAAAGCATGAACCGACGCTAGTAGGATACGATAACTTATGTGCATTTGTGAAAAAGTCACAGGCGTAAATTCCGCCCGAGTGACCGTGGCCCAGTATGCCGATCAACGCATCTTGGGCGTATATGCAAACACTTTGCAGCAGTTCATCGCTCAAGTCGTCATACGTGATTGTCTTCGGATACGCTTCCAGTTTCAAGTCCTTCGCGGAATGTCCTTGTAATCTCTGGGATCATCTTTTAAGGGCTTGGGAACAATGTCCTAAGGTGCCCCTTCAGTGTGCTGTACATCGGATTCCACCGCAGGCCACCAAGCCACTGAAGCATATCGTAGATGTTACTTGATGCCCTAGGCAAATCGATATGCTCATGGTGACATACTTCATAGTATTTCCTGAAAAGGTCGCGGAGGCAGTGGGCAATGTCGAAGACATCGATTCCTGTGGCACTCTTTTTGCTGCCCGGAGAAGCATTTTTCCTCTCCTCAGTCACCCAGTCAAGTAGGGATCGAACCTGAGAAGCGCCGGGAATATTGTGGTCAAGCAGTGTAGTTTTCATTTTATGCCCGGTGAAGCCAAGGTTATTCCGCAATTCGCCATCTTGCTTTCCCTCCTCGGACGGCACTCGGAAGCCGTGGTCCCTCAGCCATGTGCCAAGCGGGTTCTCAGTTTTCCTGCCATTTGTATGATCATACAAACGAATACTATTATGGCGCCACCTGCCACCAGAGTTACATTCTCTTTCCAAAACAAACAGATGATTTTTCACTCGCTCCATAATGGTGACACAGACCTTTGCGCAGTCGCGGCCCTCGGGGGTTAACTCATATTCCGGCTCGGCTTTTGGCCAGAGACGGGGGGAGATGTTGGCGGAGTGCTGGGAACAGGACCGCTGGCGGCGGGAGCGGAACGCCTTGTTCGGCTGGGATCAGATAGTTGACCGGAGGCGGCAGCAACATTTGAGGCGGGACGTTGTGGATCGGGAACATTTTCCGACATATCCACTTTTTTAGGTGCTAACAATCTAGTGAATTTCATACCGCTGTAAGCGTTCACGTACGCGTGCTCCAGCTTCGTGAATAATGCCGCGAAGCCTTTTTAAACGACTCGAGAATATAAGGATATTTTCCCTCACCGTATGTCTTGGGATTGAATGTAGCTAACGTATCATTCAGTGCATCCAAATTATTAGAAAATTTGTTGTCGAAATGATTGGATGCCCAGAGGCCTGTAAGCACTCTGTCAAGAGCCTTTTGTGTAGGCTTCATTATGCCGAAGTCTGACTTTAAATCTGCAACCTTTTGGCAATTGATGAATAAAGCACTTATTGCGCCACTTAACCTTCTTGCCGCCTGGTGCAGTGGAGGCTCTGCTTTCGTAAACTTATTAGGATCGATATCTGCAATAACTTTGGCTCTCGTGACAAAATTATCTTCAAACAATTTCATAAACTTCTTGTGTCCCTGCTCCAAATCTTTTTCGATTTCTTCGGGTACTCCTTCCAGCTCCTCCTCAACCTTCTTGGAGAATTCGGTGAGCATGGATTGGATAGAGGAAATGTACTGCTTTCTGGCTAGGGTGCTCAGCTCGGAGATTGCGGAGGAGACTTGTTGGTCAACTTTGTTTTTCAGAGGCCTCAGTGTATTGTTCGTCACTTCTTCTGCCTTTTCTAGAATGTCGTTGGCTTCATTCAGGGCCTTGGTCACCGGGCCTTGTTGGAGCTCCGTCAATTTTTTGTGGAGGTCTTGGAGAGTATTTTTATCCAACTTGCCTCTGCCAAGGTCCTTTTCGAGCTTGGTCAAAATGCCTTTGATGAGTGTGCCGTGGAAGACGAATGCGTCGACTATTTTGCTTAGTTCATCTTTAATTTTGCCGGACCACTCTTTGAGCTTAGTTTCGGTGGGTTCGACGCTGAGAGCAGAGGCTTCTCCACTGATGTTCTTGATCGCTTGGTCGAGGGGGGTGTAGGCTTTGTCGCGTTTGGTGCTGATGGAGCTGTCGCCTAGATTTACGTTGTCTGCTGGGCCGGTGATATGCTGAACCTGTGTCTGCACCTGCGTGATGGCGTTGTCGACGGCTTGGGCGTGGTTGGTGTTGGATCCGGCAGCGGCTCCTTTCCCAGTCGCCGTGTCAAACTGACCTTTAAGTGTCTCACTCTTTTCATGAGCCTCCTTTATTTTGCCTGCGATGCTAGTGTCTGAGCCAGAGGGTCTAGTCTCGAGGACCAATGAGTGGAGTTCGGCGGCGATATTCTTTGCGTTGGCGGCGAGTGCAAAAAGGATGCGTTGGACGGCGGAATTTAGATCACCGTTATATAGGGAGCCCTTATTCTTTATTTTCAACGAACCTTCACTCTCAATGGCTCCTACAATTATAGTAACCTTAGTCGGAATTTGCATCTCCAGCTTATTGGCAAAAGTCTCACAAACCTCTTTGACGGCTTTCAAAATTTCATCAACGCGCTTTCCTTCGGGACTTCCACCAAAGGTGCCAGCAGCCGGATTAATGACATCGGCGGTGATATTCGCAATAATTTTTCCGGTCACTGCTTTATGCAGTGTTTTACCTTCTGTGTCATACTTATTCGCCAAAGGCTTCTGACTCATCCAATACCCTCGCAGCCCGCTTGGACCACCAACTGTATCTACTATCTTATTACTCCACCCTTTCCCGTATTTTCAAACTGTCCCTGAGTGAACC